CTAAACTATAACTTTTTACCCTATCTGAGAGGGAGTCATGCCTGAATTTTATGTCAAGTTCAAGACACGAAGGCGAGTATTGTTTAACCCTTTCTTTACTGTCCACCAATAGCAGCAAAGAATACAAACAGTAAGAAAAAATGGTAACCATAGTGATAGACCACTCCCATACCAAGTCCCAGTATAATAGTCAGCACCTCCCCAGACAATTCCTCTTTCTTTGCTGCTTCCATATTATCATTGCCTTATTGTTATGTATACTCTTTATTTGCATTATTGATGTTACTCTCATTATTGCTCTGTTGTTATATGTACCATTTATTTGCTCTTTTGCTTGTAGTTTCATTATTTACTTTTTTATTTTCCATATATTTTATGTTTCCATGTTTTATCCTATTGTGGATTTTATTTTGTGTTATCCTTTGAGCCCAGGGTTCCAGACCTCTTTAGGGTATTATTATCAGTATCCCTATCACTTGAGCTTCCCCTGTTGCTCTTATCTTTTTTCTCTGTTTGCCTTATCTTTCTCAGGCTGTCTGTGACTCCATTGTCCTCTTCATGTCTGACGTCTGGGCCCTGGTGAGCTCCCTATCTCTACCCTCTAATAAGGTATAGTTAGTCTGGTGTGATTAACTCCTGCTAGCTTGTTCTATTCCTGTCATTTTCGTTTTAGCTTTCAACTCCCTGCAGCATATATTACTATTTTATATTTGGTGACATTGGGATATCTCACAGCGATTTTATTATGCCCAACTCTAAAGTGCCTGCCACTCCCCTTCCCCCTGGGGAAATGGATATACCTCATGCTTTGGTTAACCCCTCTGCCAGCTCTGGCCCCCTTCCTCCGCAGGTGACCCTATGTCAGTACCTGACGATGCCCAATCCCTAGCTCTACAGCGCTCCATTACAGATGCCATTATGGCCGCCATGGGCTTCAGGTCCTCTGCCCTTTCCCAGACTATTTAACAGGCCTTACTGGCACTCCCTTTGGCCGCAGAAGGCTCGGCCACGCCGACGTGCTTAGCGCGTTCTGCTTTCAGCCCTACAGGGGATGTTCCAAGAAAGGCTACGGCCAAATCCAGGCACTTAAGCCCCCCTGCCTCCAGAAACAATACGACTGGTGTGACTATATCCACTAATGATAGCGTGCCTATGTCACGCAAAAGAGCCTGTCCGCGCCAGGCAGAACGGGCGCAGCAGTGGAAATGTGCTAGAGCACAAAAAGAGAGTGACTCCGACAGAAATCGGGTCTTGTGAGGAGGCTGATGATGTGTCCGTAGGTGACTCCAATGACGACATTGGCGGGCAGGACACTGACCTTTTTGCCCCTGCTCTTTCGGGGCTGGTAATGAGCTACCCTCATGGACCCGTCTGGGGAACCTATGTTTGACCCGGATGCTCTTCATCATGCGAGGTCGGCAGAATGGCTCCCAGCGGACCATGTGGCTAAGTACCTAGAGAACTGGGTACGGCGCCCCCTTAGCAAGGCGGCGCGCAACAAACTCAGGGCAGAATGTCCTAGACCCCTGATTCCCAGTAAAGTCTGTGAGACCTCTATTGTTGAGGCGGGCAAAGACGCCCAGGGCTTGTTGTTTGGAGAATCCTTTATAAAGGATCTGGGGCGCTTTGTGGGTGCTTTTACAGCCCTGGACAAGGCTCAATCCTCTATGAAGAGGGTATTTCAGGAATGGGTCTCTACCAGGGCCGGCAGATGGATCGGGACGAGGCTTCTACACCCAGAGACCATCCTACCAGGAGACGAGACAACAGTCCCCTTTCTTCCCCTCTCATGGGAGGCCATGGCGCTCCAGAGGCTTCAGAGAGAACCCCGGTTCCAGACGCCCTTACGGTAAGCTTACATTTACCTCTTGTTTTTTTGAATATCTGTGTAGGGAGCAGACCTCATTTTTTCCAAGCCTGGTTAGACATCACGTAGAGTTGGTCGTCACCCCGTGTCATATTCCTCCCCCTATTATACTTTCAGGGACAGACCGCGCCCTAATAGACGAGGAGCTATTGGCTCTCCACACGAAGGGGGCGATAGAACAGGCCCCCATGTCCCCCACAGGGGTTCTCAGCAACATCTTCCTTGTAGAAAAGAAAGGCGGGCAGATGCGCCCAGTTATCAACCTCCGGGCCCTGAACACTCTAGTGAGCTACCGCCACTTCAAGATGGAGGGCATTCATCTCCTGCTTACTCCTTCGGGGAGACTGGATGGCAAAATTTGACCTCAAGGACGCATACTTGATGGTCCCAGTGACCGGGGCATCCAGGGACTTACTACGCTTCCTCCGGAAAGGCGACACTTGGCGCTTCACATGCCTCCCTTTCGGGCGCTCGTCAGCTTGGTGCTTCACCAAATTGATGCACCCTGCCATGGCTTGGTTGCGCAGTCGAGGAGTAAGACTGATAGTCTATTTGGACGTCATCCTCCTCATGGCACAGGACTGGTGGGTCCTCCTGAAACACCTACAGTGGAAGATAGATCTCCTATCTCGTCTGGGTTTCCTCCTCAATTGGGAAAAATCCTGCCTGACCCCTTCCCGACACATGGGTTAATGGTAGACTTAGAGGCGGAATCTCTCAGGCTCGCTCCGGCCAAAATACACTCCATCCGCAAGGAACTACGCCGCGCCCTCAGCTGTCATTGTGTCATCTGGCACGGATCATCGACCTACTGGCCTCCTCAATCCAGGCGGTGTTTCCAGCCCCTCTCCATTATCGTGCCCTCCAGCGTCTGAAGATCGCACATCTTCGCAACGTGGCATCATATGCAGACATGGTTTCCCTGGATTCGGAAACCTGAGACGAGCTGACCTGGTGGATCCACAACCTATCCGCTTGGAATGGCATGGCCATCTTCGGTTCCTAACCAGAATTCACGGTTGATTCAGATGCAAGTCTCCACGGTTAGGGTGCACACTGCAACGGTGTGACTACCGGGGGACGCTGGTCGGAGGACGAATCCTGTCTCCACATCAATTCCCTGGAGCTCATTTGCGATCCGGAGCTTCGCGAACGGGACCGCCAGTCCGACTGCGAATGGACAACATCTCAGCAGTTCGCTATGTCAATCACATGGGCGGCACGCATTCGGCTATTCTGGCCCACTTGGCAAAGGACTTCTGAGCCTATTGTTTGGCCAGGAATCTGATCATCCAGGCGGAATACCTCCCCGATCTCCACAACACCCATGCGGATTGGAGCTCACGCTATCTGTCGGACAGCAGCGATTGGAAATTGAATGTAGAGGTGTTCTCCGCTATCTCATCTCTCTGGGGACCCTTTGCCATCGACACTCTTCGCTTCTCCACTCAACGCCCATCTACCTCAGTTCTACAGCTGGCACCCAGACCCAGCCGCGGAGGCAGTGGACGCTTTCCTACAAGACTGGACCGGCCACCTCTTTACGCCTTCCCTCCATTTGCCATGATTCCTCGGGTTCTACTCCGAGTACGACGCCAGATGGACGACTTGGTCCTACTGACCCCACGATTAACCTGTATAGATCAGCCATCTCTTTGGCCCACCAGTGTTTCAACGGCTGTCCTGCAGGCCAACACCCCTTGGTGTGCCTCTTACTTCTGGGTTCATGCCTGTTGTGTCCACCCAGACCTCGATATTCGGCTACATGGGGCGTTTCCTGCGTCTTGTCACTGTTTACTTCCTGGCCTCCTAATTCGGACCTCACCCTGCGACAACTGTCGGCCAATTTGGTTTCCCTGTCCTGCCTCATTTCGTGCAAACGGGTCTCAGATGTATGGGCCCTGGACTACGATGCTAGGTCCTTCACTCCGGATGGAGTGACATTTAACATTTCCAGACGCACTAAGACGGCTATACATTCCATCTTATATCCGAGTTTTCCAACTACCCCGGTGCTATGTCCTGTGACCTGTTTGAGGGAGTATGAACTTTGGACGAGTGCCCATCGTTCGGCCACATCCCCTCAGCTCTTTCTCTCGATTCGTCAACCCTTCGCCCCGGTGTCCAGCACTACCGTGGCTCGATGGGTGAAATGGGTGATGTCACTGGCCCAGGGGCGGGCTGGGCCGGGGGACAGGGAGGCAATTGCCCCCCAGGCCGCCCTAAATTCTGTTAAGACCGGCCACTGCAGGGCTGGCCCTTTAAATGCTGCAGCTGTCGGAGCGCTCTGTTAAGACCCTCAGGCGGCTGCAGCTGCTCCTCTCCTCCCCTCCCCTATAGCTTGGCTGAGCTGCTCGCTGGTCCGCGGTGCCCGGCCGGACTGATAGGAAGGTACACACTCAGTGTGCACTTCCTGTCAGTCCGGCCGGCTACAGGAAACAGAAACTCCAGGCGG